GAGGGGCCTCGCAAGGGGGGCCGCAGACGGCAGGCAGCTGACGCATCTTGGTGCGCGGATGGGCATGAGCTTTGTCCTAATTTCGCTCGCTCTCTTTGTTTTGCTGGAAATAGTTGAGTTGAAGAAGCAAATTGCTTGCCCCTTGGAGCTCAAGAATAACACCGACGAGTATGTGGCGTTTAAGGTAACCAAGGATGAAATGATACGTCTGTGTGTGTGCTCTAATTCTTTGTTCTTTTTATTTCCAGGTGAAAACTACATCACCAAAGAAATATTCTGTTCGTCCGAATGCTGGTTTTGTTCCACCTCATGGCAGCGTTGACATTATCAGTATGTTCTCTCTTCCTTTTTTTTTTTTTTTTTTCTATTAAGATTGACCCCGTGCTTGTTTGCTGCAGTCACCATGCAAGCACAACGAGACTATCCCCCAGACCTGCAGCAGTGCAAGGACAAGTTCCTTGTGCAAAGTGTTCGAGCACCGGAGGGTGCTCAGTTTCAAGAAGTGTCCCAGGAGCTGGTCAGTTCATAGCTTTCTAAACATCGTTGGTTTAGAATTGTTTTGGTGCAGTTTAACAAAGAGAATGGGGCGGAGGTGTTCGAGAACAAGCTGAAAGTTGTCTATGTCTCTCCGCCTCAACCTCCGTCTCCGGTTCCCGAGTCCGCCGAAGAAACTGTTTCTCCATCAAAAGCCGACAATGGAGACTGGATCTTTTCACTGAGAGACGTAAGACTTTTCATACCTTTTAGCTGCACGAAACTCTGATGTACACGTTGTTGGTTTACAGGGGCCTAAAACTGCCGGTGAACTTGAGAGCAAGATTGCAGAGGTAACAAGTATCGTGAACGTGAGTTTTAAGCTATCTGTTGCTTGCAGGCACGAGCATCCTTGACAACATTGTCGAACGAGCGCGACTTGGCAAAGCATCAAACGCGAGAGCTCGAACAAGAACTGGTACGGAATTTAGTTTTTCTAGTTCTTTTTTAAAGTAGGATCCGTTGC